TGGTATTGGATGATTTTCAACAACTGATTTAGACGCACGCAAGCACTTGAGATTTCTGTAAAAACACTCTCCTGCTTTATAGTTGCCTCGTCCCTTGGATTCGAGATTTCCTTGAAAAAATTGATTGTTTTGACGATTGCGTCATCTCATTTTGTTTGGCACGTTTACCCTCTCTCGCTCTGAAATTTACAGTTGGTAAACGGTTAGCATGAGTTTTCTGCATCTTGTATTTGAAAAGTGATCTGTTGTTTTTTTAAAGTACAAGGTTTTTTTTGTGACTGGAAAACTCATCGCCCTTGCAGTACTTTCAACTTTTCTGTGAATTCTGTACGTGAAAGCATCTCTTCTTTTAGAGTTGAAAGAAACTTGAATTCGGGACAACATGTTCTGAAAAAGCTCTTGAAAAATAGGCGAGCCAACAGAGAATGGAGGGTTTCAGTCAGTTTAAAATATTCTGGTTCAGCCCTGTTCTTTTTATTGGGAAAAGCTTCTAAATTCTATGTGAATGTGGGATAGCTAAACATCTAGTTGTTTTTCCTTTCCAAAAGCAGAAGGCTGCTGTCTTGATGCTTTTGCACTCAACTGAGATGGTTGAACCAGTGTCTCATCATTGGATTAGATTTGGTATTTCTTGAATACCAATTTGAGGTGGGAAATGCTCACAGGTGAACTATTTGTTCAGTCCCTGGTAAACTGTTTTAGCTCAATGCAGTCCCGTGAAAGGTTGAGCCTTGTTTTGATGTTTGAAAAGTCAAAACCTTTTTGCATTGTTTGTAGACCCAGAGGATTATTGGATGCCCCTGCAGCAGTTATGCTGGAATTCTATTTTTGTGTGTGGTTGTCTTGGACTTTGATTTGGTTGGGCGTGAGAAAATTTATGATTCAATTTCTGCATCTCCTTTTTATTCAATTTCTGCCTCTCCTTTTCCCATGCATAAAACCAGAACTGTTTTATTGGGATGGTATTGCATGATTTTCAACAACTGATTTAGACGCAAGCATGCACTTGAGATTTCTGTAACAAAACTCTCCTGATTTAAAGTTGCCTTGTCCCTGGGATTCGAGATTTCCTTGAAAAAATTGATTGTTATGACAATTGCGTCATGTCATTTTGTTTGGCACCTGTACCCTCTCTCACTCTGAAATTTACAGTTGGTAAAGGGGTAGCATGAGTTTTTTGCGTCTTGTATTTGAAAAGTGATCTGTTGTTTTTTCAAAGGAAAGAGGTTTTTTTGTAACTGGAAAGCTCATCGCCCATGCAGTACTTTCAACTTTTCATTGAATTTTGTGCCTGAAAGCATCTCTTGTTCTTGAATTGAAAGAAACATGAATTCAGGACAACATGTTCTGAAAAAGCTCATGAAAAATAGATGTGCGAACAGAGAATGGAGGGTTTCAGTCGGTTGAAAATATTCTGGTTCAACCCTGTTCTTTTTATTGAGAAAAGCTGCTAAATTCTATGTGAATGTGGGATAACTAAACATCCAGTGGTTTTTCCTTTTCAAAAGTAGAAGGCTGCTCTCTTGATGCTTTTGCACTCAACTGAGATGGTTGAACTGGTTTCTCATCATGGATTGCATTTGGTATTTTTTGAATAGCAATCTGAGCTTGGAAAATGATCTCACGTGAACTATTTGTTCAGTCCCTGCTAAATTGTTTTTGTGCAATGCAGTCCCTTGAAAGATTGAGCCTTGTTTCGATGGTTGAAAAGTCAAAACTTTTTTCATTGTTTGTAGACCCAGAGGATTATTGGATGCCCCTGCAGCAGTTCTGCTGGAATTCTATTTTGGTCTGTGCTTGTCTTAGACTATTATTTGGTGGTGTGTGAGAAAAACTATGATTCAGTTTCGTCTACTCCTCTTTCCCTAAATGAAACCATAACTTTTTTATTGGGATGGTATTGGATGATTTAGATGCAAGCAATCACTTGAGATTTCTGTAACAAAATTCTCCTGCTCTATAGTTGCGTTGTCCCTGGGATTCGAGATTTCCTTGAAAAAATTGATTGTTTTGATGATTGTGTCATCTCATTTTGTTTGGTACATATACCCTCTCTCGCTCTGAAATTTAGAGATGGTAAACAGGTAGCATGAGTTTTTTGCGTCTTGTATTTGATAACTGATCTGTTGTTTTTTTAAAGTAAAAGGTTTTTTTGTGACTGGAAAACTCATTGCCCTTGCAGTACTTTCAAGTTTTCTGTGAATTTTGTACCTGAAAGCATCTCTTCTTTTAGAATTGAAAGAAACTTTAATTCAGGACAACATATTCTGAAAAATAGATGTGCGAACAGAGAATGGAGGGTTTCAGTCGGTTTAAAATATTCTGGGTCAACCCTGTTCTTTTTATTGAGAAAAGCTTCTAAATTCTATGTGACTGGAATAACTGGACGTCCTGTGGTTTTTCCTTTTCAAAAGTGGAAGGCTGCTCTCTTGATGCTTTTGCACTCAATTGATATGGTTGAACTGGTGCCTCATCATGGATTACATTTGGTATTTTTTGAATACCAATTTGAGCTTGGAAAATGATCTCATGTGAACTATTTGTTCAGTCCCTGCTGAACTGTTTTTGCGCAATGCAGTCCCGTAAAAGATTGAGCCTTGTTTCGATGGTTGAAAAGTCAAGTTTTTTGCATTGTTTGTAGACCCAGAGGATTATTGGATGCCCCTGCAGCAGTTCCGCTGGAATTATATTTTGGTCTCTGCTTGTCTCGGACTTTGATTTGGTGGCTTGCGAGAAAAATTATGATTCAGTTTCTGCTTCTCCTCTTTGCATGCATAAAACCAGAACTTTTTAATTGGGATGGTATTGGATGATTTTCAACAACTGATGTAGACGCAAGCAAGCACTTGAGATTTCTGTAACAAAATTCTCCTGCTCTATAGTTGCCTTGTCCCTGGGATTCGAGATTTCCTTGAAAAAATTGGTTGTTTTGACGACTGTGTCATCACATTTTGTTTGGCACTTATACCCTCTCACTCTGAAATTTAGAGTTGGTAAACGGGTAGCTTGAGTTTTTTGCATCTTGTATCTGAAAAGTGATCTGTTGTTTTTTTAAAGTTAAAAGGTTTTTTTGTGACTGGAAAACTCATCGCCCTTGCAGTACTTTTAACTTTTCTGTGAATTTTGCACCTGAAAGCATCTCTTCTTTTAGAATTGAAAGAAACTTGAATTCCGGACAAGATGTTCTGAAAAAGCTCATGAAAAATAGATGTGTGAACAGAGAATGGAGGGTTTCTGTGGGTTTAAAATATTATAATTCAACCCTGTTCTTTTTATTTAGAAAAGCTGCTAAATTCTATGTGACTGTGGGATAACTAAACATCTAGTGGTTTTTCCTTTTCAAAAGTGGAAGGCTGCTTTCTTGATGCTTTTTCACTCAACTGAGATATGATTGAACCAGTGTCTCATCATGGATTACATTTGGTATGTTTGAATACCAATATGAGCTTGGAAATTGATCATATCTGAACTATTGTTCAGTCCCTGTTAACTGTTGTTTCGCTCAACTTTTTTTCACTGTTTCCAGTCCGAGGATTATTCTATGCTTGTGCAGCAGTTCTGCTGTTGCTGTATTTTGGTCTGTATTTGTCTTCGATTTTGATTTGGTGTTGTGTGAGGAAAAAAAGAAGTTTTGATTTCTTTCTCTTTTTCCTATACATGAAACCAGAAATTTATTGGTATGGTAATTGATGATTTTCAACTGATTTAGACGCCAGCAAAACTTGATATTGCAAAATGCTCCTGATTTATGGTTGCCTTGTCACTAGGATTTGGGACTTCATAACTAAAATTGACTGGTATTATCGGACAGAAAAATCCTATTTGGTTTCATAATTGAATTGCCTGCATTTATCTTTATTATGCCTATGAACATGTGGTTTAGGCCATTCTGACCACTGTTGCCCTAGTGTCTTTCACTATTTTTTACATCATACTTCTTGTTTTACTTCTGTGTAGATGGGGTAGGAATCAATCCTCAGCAAAGTGCAGGTATGCCATGCTCCCTTTACATTTTAAGCTGTGTTGTCAGTGCTTTTTTTTTATGTTGTCTCTTCAAGTATTTGTGATATTCGCATCTGTGCTGATTGATCATTATATTATTAAGTTGCATGTGTGCCTCGTGTCCCATCTCCATTGTCCCGTTGCCATTTTCAGCACTATAATTTGGAAGAGAAGTATGCTATTGCCAGTAACTGCTGGCATTATCAGCAAGGCGCTAATCATTTAGCATTAACCTTGTCCATCTTCACCAGATAACACAGTAGCTTCTATTATCATGCCCCATAACAAGTGATAAGATTTCTGTTTAGGATATTATCACTGTAGCATAAGTGCATTAACAATGCATGAATTCTATTGCCTCCCTTTTCATTTGCTAGCTCCAGGCGATAGGAAGTATCTGTTGATGATGATATAATTTTAGCAGTGATTTGGGCACTACACTGCATTGTTTTCAAGTATTTTAATGTTCGTTTCACATGACTTTGACTGGCTAGGCAATGTCTTCCTTAAACATGGTTCTGAACTGCGCCTGATCCCACGTGATAGGGTTGGAGCTTCTGAATGTTGAAAACATGATCATCATCAGACTAAAAAACTGGTTAATCTTTGTGCTTACTCTGTTATCTTATTTTCTTCTATACCATTCTGTAACTTTTAATTAGTGTAACTGGTATCATAATCAATATCAATTGAGAAGGAAGGTAGCTGAAGGTATCTGCAATGCATGGTCTTTCAAGTTAATCATAATAGAAAGGTCTCCTTGCCCTTTTTCTTAGTCCTTTCTCTTTCATTATGTGGAGCCTTGTTTTCATCAGAGATTTGAGCTGGGGGTGGATGATAATAGGCCATGGGCCTTGTTGCTTCTAATCACAGCCGACACAGATGCAGTGGTTTTAATAGTTAAACTGCTGTACCTTGACATACTGAGAGCTACCCTGTTGATGGATCGAGGTTCGATTCACCTGCCTTGTTGATGGATCGAGGTTAGATTACGTGCATTTTTTTATTTTTTTTTATTTTTGTGGGAAACCGCTATGACATGAAAGCGTTGCTCCTGGACTTGCTGCTGCGTGAAAACGTTATTTCCACTTCAGCGTTATACTCGGTCTGAACTACCATGAAAAGTTTTTCTTTCTCTAGCCAGAGAAATCCAAAAACTAATTGGTGTCGGCATGCCTTGCCCGAGCATAATTCAATAACGCATTGCCTTGGTGCGGGGATGTGCATGTTTTATCTTTAGCTCAATGTGTGCTAGCTGCAAACGGAAATCCAAATCGCACGAATGGTCAGAAATTGCCTTTTTTAGACGCGTGATCATCGTGTAATGGTTGTGCCTTTTGTTTGTTGAAAATGATCACTGCCGAAGACCTTTTGCAGAGGCAGAGTAATGAGCTGGTTTTCCTGCTCTTTCCATCTAAGTGCATGGTGCTCACCCTAGACCCCCATTGCAAGGATAATATGAGCTTGCGACCAAGCTGTCCAGTAGAATTTGTGTTCCAAATTCTCAAATGAAGTCATGTTCCTCTTCAAGCACCCCCTAACACGCACGCACGCACACTCTAAAAAGGCATGGAAAAAATATTATAGCTTTTCCACACTTTTTAGGTTCATGACACTAGTATTTTAATTCTTCTTCTTGTTTTTTTTTTCTTTTGTTTTTATGCCTTCAGTTTTTTTTTTCTTTCAATTAATTTTTTTAATGTTAAATTTTTTATTTGATTATCAGATTTTCATGACAAGAATTTCAAGTTTAACGGGTTAATCTGGTTTGATGAGTTAATCTCGAATTGTTTTTTTGTTTTAATTAATTTTTTTATTTAATTTAGTTTGTTAATGTTGAATTTATTTCTATTTAATTATCAAACTTTTATAAAACATAATCTGGGTTTGACGGCTAACTTGTCAAATTTTTTTCTATTTAGTTATTAAATTTTCATAACATCAATCTCAGGTTTGAATGGTTAATTTAGTTAATTTAGATTATTTTTTTATTTATTAGTTTTTTTTTTCATGTAGCTTTTTACTTTTTAATTAATCTATTTAATTATCACACTTTTATTACATGATCTTGCAGCCAGATCCACATTCAGGGTTTTTGGGTTTGATATTGCAGTCAGACTCATTTAAACTTGAGTAATGTAAGTTTAATATTATTATTATTAATATTATAAATATTATGTTTGGATCAAGCGTTGCGGTTAGATTTAAGATTTTTTGGTATATCTTTACAGAAAAACCTAATATTTTTAGATTTTGGCTTTTTATATATTTTTTATGCAAGAAAAAAATTAATTTGTGGTGTATCCTTTTGTTTTTTATTTTCATTTCTTCTTCTTTTAAAATTTTTTATGGTGGATTGCACAGTGCAGTTCACAGTAAAAAAGTTAATACCTTTAGTTTTTTTTTTTGCTTTTTTCTTTGTTTCTTTGTTTTTAATTAATTTTTTTCACTTTAGCTTTTTAATATTAAAATTTTTTTATTTAATTATTAGACTTTCATAATACAGATTTTATGTTTGACGGGTTAATTTGGTTTGACGAGTTAACTCAGTTGATTTCATTTTTTTTCTTTGTTAGTTTTTTTTTTTCAATTTTATTTTTTAATATTGTATGTAATTTATAGTGAAAAGATTGATATCTTTAGTTTTTTTTTCTTTTTATGTCTTTTACTGTGGATTGTATAATGCAGTTCACGGTGAAAAGGCTAATGTTTTTTTTAATTATTTTTTTAATTTAGCTTGATATTAAATTTTTTTTCTATTTAGCTATCAGATTTTCATGATACGAATTTATGGTTTCATAAATTAACTCAATTAATTCAATTTTTTTTTTATTAGTTTTTTTTTGTAGGCTTTTCCTTTTTTGAATTATTTTTTTATTTAGTTTGTTGGTATTAAATTTTTTTCTATTTAGTTATTAGATTTTCATAACATGGATCTTAGGTTTGATGGGTTAATCAGTTAATTTAATTTTTTTTGTCTTTTTCTTCATTAATGTTTTTCTTTCTATAGTTTTTTTTTTGTTTCATTAATTTTTTTAAATTTAGTTCATTAATATTAAATTTTTTTTATTTTGTTATTACACTCTCATGACACGAATCTCAAATTTGATAGGTTAACCTAATTTAATGGGTTAATCCAGTTGATTTAGATTATTTTTTTTCTTCATTAATATTTTTTTTTTAATTTTATCTTTTAACATTGTAACTATAAAAAAAAAAAAATCTTTTATTGTGGATTGCATTGTGTAAATTTATAGTGAAAGATAGATATCTTTTAGTTATAGGTTTTTTTTATTTTTTTATTTAGCTATTACATGCCTATGACATAGATTTCAAATTTAACGGGTTAATCTGATTTAATCTGATTTAGTGGATTAAACTAGTTAATTTATTTTTTTAAGTAGTTTTTTTCTTTTAATTTTATCTTTTAATATTAATTTGATTAAGAATTAAAATTTATAATTTATTTTGTTTAGTTTTTGTTAAATTATTATGATCTAATGAGGAGATTTTGTTGTGCCTCTCCTTGCAAAGCACTGTTCATTGAAAAAGTGCTTTGTTTTATTTTTTTTAATTAATTTTTGTATTTAATTTTATTATGTAATATTAAATATTTTTTTATTTTTTTATTATATTTTAAGGTTTTTGGATCTATGTTGTAGTTAAAATCACTTAAATTTTAGTCATGTAAATTTAATATTATTATTATTGTTATTAATATTATAAAGATTTCTGAAATATTATAAACAAACTCAAGATTTTTAAATATAATTTTACAAAAAATTTAAAACTTTTAAAATTTAACTTTTTATATTTTTTTTATATAAAAATAATTGACGGGCGGCAGCACAGCCAAATATATATATATATATATAAAAAAAAAAACCAGAAAATGTCTCTCCTTCATTTCTATATTTTTTATATAAAAATAATTGACGGGCGGCAGCACAGCCAAATATATATATATATCACGTGCTCTCTAGCAAGTCGGTAAAGGAGGAGAAAGGGGGAGGGGCGTCCTGAAGAAACGAGGTCCACGGTGATGGGTATCGTCTTTGAAGGGAGGACATGTGCATTTAAAGTTGCACTGAATCTTTTGGCTCTTAAAATCACAATTGAATCCGATCTCTGAACCATCACGATAACCATCTTATTCATGTCTTCTAATAATGTTCGCCTGGTCGGGGCCAGCGACAGGAAGGAGCCCACCCCGCCAGTGTTTTTGATTTTTCTGATACTTTCTTGAGTGGCATCTGCACTTCTCAATTGTTACGTTTCCAGCGGGCGTTACGTGTTGCGTTGGAGACGGGACACGTCAACTACTGATATTATCAGTTTTGATACTGCTTCGGCTTTTGTTGAGGTAGGAGCTGCTAGCCGTAATTGTAGTTGTAAAAGCGTGGCAAGGTGCAGTGTTATATCTACTGCAACCATAGCTGACAAATGGTTTTCAAAATCTTTATATTTTAGCTTATAACTTTTAGCTTTCAACTGGTTTCCAAAACTTTACCATATATTTGTTTTAGTTTTTTTTTTAGATTGTAGTAGTAGTGTTGTTTAAAATATTTTTTATTTAAAAATATATTAAATTAAATTTATTTATTTTTTAAAAATTATTTTTGATATTAACTCATCAAAATAATATAAAAATAAAAAAATTAATTTAAAAAAAAAAATTAAAATATATAGTTTGCACATATGCCTAGATAGTTTTTGGTGAAAAATCCCCAGGCTATAAACAGCCGGAGATCATGAATTGCCAAAGGGTCTTTTAGATGCCTTGTGGAGATCCAGACGATGCCGCAGCAGCGACCATAAAAGACTTAGGTTCTGGTGAGGGCTGCTTGGTTCGTCAACGTCCTCTCCTTTTTGGTTGTCGTAGATTTGAGTTTGAAAGGCTGATTGGACAGGGATAGTAAGCGATCCGACCGTTAAAACATCATTTTTTTTTTATAGTTTGTGTTTGTTTTACCTAAAATTTTAGAGATATATTTACAGTTTCACGCTCGCTCTATGTCCGTTTAAAACATCATTTTTTTTTTTATCATCTATGTTTGTTTTACCTAAAATTTTAGAGATATAAAAATATATGGCAATTTTTTTTACCGCAGCCAGTAATTAATTATAAAAGAAACACGGTAATAATAGAATGATGATAATATGGAGGTAAAGAATATTTTTTCCATTTCTATTTTCATTTTTCTTCTCCGTCTTCTTATTTTCTATTCATTTACTGTGTTCAGAGACGATGTGACCACTTACCTGAAAGCCGTGAGCGGGTCCATCGAGGTGAAAAGTAAAGTTCGCACAAACGAAAAGAATTAACAAGAGGTTAAGCCGAGGCCGAATTGACAAGTTTAACCTCGTAAAGCGAAAAAGCATCCCAAAACATCAGGGTACTTTGGTAAATGAGGGCCCCGTCAGTCCACTTTGCTGCTTGGGATCCCGCAAAAGTGGGCAAAACCACATTTATCGGAGAGATTCAAACCCTTCTTTTTCAGGTCTTTTGTGCTTCTTCCATTCCCTCACGTGACACTGTCACCTCTCTTCCCTCGATCCTATTATCAATCCTCACATGATTTTTTCTTCGACGCTGTTTTTTCTGTTTTAGACATATTTTTAAAAAAAATTATTTTTTTATTTAAATTTAATATTTTTTAGTGTTTTTATAGGATAATGTTAAAATTAATTTTTGAAAATAATTTTTTTAAAAAAACTACAACCAATTACCCCAAACTCCAACTAAAACAAAACAGAAAATCAAACCCTTTTTGA